TCTGGCCACATGGCCGGCCTGCTCTAGACCAATTCTTCGACCACATCAATTCCATACACCCAGCCATCGGATTTACCATGGAAGTCGAATAAGATGGCAAGCTACCTTTTTTGGATGTCCAAATAAAAAAAGAGACCTGATGGTTCAATGAGCCATTCTGTCTACAGGAAAGCTACCCATACGGATGCTTATCTGAAACTGGATTCCCACCACCATCCATCACAGAAGAATTCTCTCATCAAGACTTTGTACCATAGAGCCCAATGCATATCCGACCAGGAACATAGGCAGTGAACTCAAGCACGTACACCAAGCTCTTAAGGCTAATGGTTACTCCGACTATACAATCCGCAAAGCTATCACTCAAACCATGAAGGACCCTCTTGAGGAGCCTTTCAAAACCATCACTTTACCCTACATTGCGGGGATCACAAAAAAGATCTCCATTACATAAAATCCGTGATCTGGTTCCGTCTGTAAAAGATGCGATTCCAGACATACAGTACCCTGGTGTCTACAAACTAAGTTGCCTCTGGTAGTAGTTACATTGGAGAAACCAAACGCCATGTCTCGGACCGCATTCGTGAACACAAAGCAGACAAACACGGTAGGACCAACACCTCAGCTGTGGCAGATCATTGTTATAATTCAGTAGGCTCACATGACATTGACTTTTCCAAGACAAAGGTTCTTTGTAAGCCATCTGGCTACCATGAGAGATTCGTTCATGAGGCTATCCACATACACAAGCACAGAAACAATTTCAACCAAGAAGATGGATTCTGGCTTAGCAATCATTGGAAGGATTTGATAAACCATTTCGGGTCTTAATTGATTGTTCACGCTTACAGTGGCTTTCAGACAGCATACATTAATTTTTCATCTCCCCCCTCCTCTTTTCAGAACATAGATGGACTAGTCCTTCTAAATAAACTGGCAAATCGCTGCGCGTGGCGCTGACATTTTTATAAATACACCGTTTAAAAATAAATTAATTAATGCAAACCGACACACCTGATGACAACCGTTTGTGTTATGGTCGAAACGTCGTGAGAATGTTATTTTTTAATATATATTTTATTATTTTATCGTTTCCCTTTAACGTGACTTTACCGAAAGTGCTAAGAATATGAATGTGATTGTTATAATTGTACTTTCCATTTTGCTTCATTCTACTACAAAGTTTCAAGTATATTTTTTTATAGTTATAATTACTTTTATTATATAATTATACAAGAATTTCAATATAATATTCTGCACATCTGCAGTTTTAGTAAGACCATGAATATTTTCAAGTGAATTTTATGCTAAATTTCAGCTTTCCAACGCCTTCTTTTTAATACATGTGTAGTGGTTGAACTTTACACGCACAACTTTTGTCTTCCTTCAACCACTTCTTTATTTTCATCGTTTAACACGTTCTCCACACTCCACCGTATCCTGGACACCACAGTTCGCTCGCCGTGCTTCGCCCGTCTCGCTCACGTCGCTTGCTCCACACACACACATCTTCAACTCTATTCCTACGCTCTCTCCACTGCTGGCTATCCTCCTCAGCTCCTCCACTATACAGCGTCGTCGCACACAGCGAAACCCAATCTCACTTCTCTGCCTCCGCACACCTCATCTCCAGCTCCTCTATTACTACGCTCTCTCCACTGCTAACTGTTCCATCTTCTTCAGCTCCCAACTCTTGTCTCCTCAGCTCCCAACTCTTGTCTCCTCAGCTCCCAACTCTTGTCTCCTCAGCTCCCAACTCTTGTCTCCTCAGCTCCCAACTCTTGTCTCCTCAGCTCCCAACTCTTGTCTCCTCAGCTCCCAACTCTTGTCTCCTCAGCTCCCAACTCTTGTCTCCTCAGCTCCCAACTCTTGTCTCCTCAGCTCCCAACTCTTGTCTCCTCAGCTCCCAACTCTTGTCTCCTCAGCTCCCAACTCTTGTCTCCTCAGCTCCCAACTCTTGTCTCCTCAGCTCCCAACTCTTGTCTCCTCAGCTCCCAACTCTTGTCTCCTCAGCTCCCAACTCTTGTCTCCTCAGCTCCCAACTCTTGTCTCCTCAGCTCCCAACTCTTGTCTCCTCAGCTCCCAACTCTTGTCTCCTCAGCTCCCAACTCTTGTCTCCTCAGCTCCCAACTCTTGTCTCCTCAGCTCCCAACTCTTGTCTCCTCAGCTCCCAACTCTTGTCTCCTCAGCTCCCAACTCTTGTCTCCTCAGCTCCCAACTCTTGTCTCCTCAGCTCCCAACTCTTGTCTCCTCAGCTCCCAACTCTTGTCTCCTCAGCTCCCAACTCTTGTCTCCTCAGCTCCCAACTCTTGTCTCCTCAGCTCCCAACTCTTGTCTCCTCAGCTCCCAACTCTTGTCTCCTCAGCTCCCAACTCTTGTCTCCTCAGCTCCCAACTCTTGTCTCCTCAGCTCCCAACTCTTGTCTCCTCAGCTCCCAACTCTTGTCTCCTCAGCTCCCAACTCTTGTCTCCTCAGCTCCCAACTCTTGTCTCCTCAGCTCCCAACTCTTGTCTCCTCAGCTCCCAACTCTTGTCTCCTCAGCTCCCAACTCTTGTCTCCTCAGCTCCCAACTCTTGTCTCCTCAGCTCCCAACTCTTGTCTCCTCAGCTCCCAACTCTTGTCTCCTCAGCTCCCAACTCTTGTCTCCTCAGCTCCCAACTCTTGTCTCCTCAGCTCCCAACTCTTGTCTCCTCAGCTCCCAACTCTTGTCTCCTCAGCTCCCAACTCTTGTCTCCTCAGCTCCCAACTCTTGTCTCCTCAGCTCCCAACTCTTGTCTCCTCAGCTCCCAACTCTTGTCTCCTCAGCTCCCAACTCTTGTCTCCTCAGCTCCCAACTCTTGTCTCCTCAGCTCCCAACTCTTGTCTCCTCAGCTCCCAACTCTTGTCTCCTCAGCTCCCAACTCTTGTCTCCTCAGCTCCCAACTCTTGTCTCCTCAGCTCCCAACTCTTGTCTCCTCAGCTCCCAACTCTTGTCTCCTCAGCTCCCAACTCTTGTCTCCTCAGCTCCCAACTCTTGTCTCCTCAGCTCCCAACTCTTGTCTCCTCAGCTCCCAACTCTTGTCTCCTCAGCTCCCAACTCTTGTCTCCTCAGCTCCCAACTCTTGTCTCCTCAGCTCCCAACTCTTGTCTCCTCAGCTCCCAACTCTTGTCTCCTCAGCTCCCAACTCTTGTCTCCTCAGCTCCCAACTCTTGTCTCCTCAGCTCCCAACTCTTGTCTCCTCAGCTCCCAACTCTTGTCTCCTCAGCTCCCAACTCTTGTCTCCTCAGCTCCCAACTCTTGTCTCCTCAGCTCCCAACTCTTGTCTCCTCAGCTCCCAACTCTTGTCTCCTCAGCTCCCAACTCTTGTCTCCTCAGCTCCCAACTCTTGTCTCCTCCCAATTTATCCCCCTTTACATTATTGCTAATTAATTTGCCCGCGTGCCTCCGCACACAACGCGTCATCCACCACCTGTCTCCTCTCTGACATCCCGGCGCCTCTCCAGCACCGGCAACAGTCCCAGCCAATCACCGCCGTTGCTTCTCGTCTACCTTAATTGGCCCAACCGATTACCTCACCTTTCAGCTTCTGCACGTGCCTGTCCTAAGGCGACCCACGCTGTTTACGCCTTCCATAGGCTAACCCCTAAATAACCCCACACTGTCCGTGTGATCAATACAATCGCACAGTTTCCCCAGCACACCTTCCTACTCCACTACACATGTTTTCACCTACAACATCAGAGCGCAGTGCAACATTAAATACGCACTACAATGACGATAGTTTAAAGCGATTTGAAGCATGTTTTATTTTCAAAATAGAAATATGGTTTTGGGGGGGAGCTTTGTGACGTCATATTTGAGGGGGGGGTCTGACTTTTTGTGGCGCCGTGTGACGAGGGGGGGGGGTCAAAAATCGTCCAAAATCGCGTGACGTCATGTATGGACGGCCCCTTACACTGGAGCAATCCGATGAGTTATAAAGTTATTTTTCACAGATGTGCAGTAGGGGCAGGTCAGAACGTTACAATACAAAAACACGATGCGAGTGCAAAGTACAAGAAAGTTAAACAAATCACCCAAACACATACAAACACAACTAAACCATCCCCATCCTACCAGGCAGAGGGGCCGTCCATAAATGACGTCGCGCAATTTTGGACGATTTTTGACCCCACCCCTCGTCACATGGCGTCACAAAAAGTCAGACCCCCCCCTCAAATATGACGTCACAAAGCTCTGCCCCCCCCCAAATAAAACATGCTTCAAATCGCTTTAAACTATTGTCATTGTAGTACGTATTTAATGTTGTTGCGCTGCACTCTGATGTAGCAGAACATATGTATTAAACAGCATATTTAATGAAGTAGAACGTGTTATCTATATTTATTTAAAGTTGCGCATTTTGATGTGACGTCACATTTCTCCCCCCCCCCCCTCGTCACACATCGTCACAAATGTCTGACGCCCCCCCCCCCCCCTTAGGTGCGTGACGTCATTTATGGACGGCCCCAGAGCCCATTTGTCAAGCGACCTGGCTACAAATAATAGCTCAAAAAAGTGGCCCATAATTTGGACATTTATAGCAGCAAAATAACCTTCATAATCTCAGTGCACTTGTAAACGAACGCTGAAACATCTTAAAATAAAAAAATCGATGCAGCAGGAAGTCTGACGGCCCAGGTGCGGCTCTCCAGGACAAGTGAATGACCACGCGGCCCGCTGTGTGTAGCGGCTAGCGCGCTGTCCTACCAACCCGCCCGCCCGAGTTCGATTCCCGCTCAAGGCCACCAACATTTTTGTCATTCTGCATCTACCGCGGGCATTCTTCGATGCAAATCGCACGGCGCGACAGCGTTCACGTGACGGCAATTGGAGGAAGGTGGGGGGGGGAGGTGAGGGCAGGACTGTCCGCGACGATGGCTTCGAAGCGCCATCTTGCTAGAGGAATGGCGGCCGCGGCCTCCCCCAGAGGACAACGGGGAGGGGAGGCGCGCGCTCCGATGACGTCACCCCCTTGCCGTACAGCTGCAGCCGCACCACCCCTTTGGCAAGGTGGCCGCCGCTGGCTCGCGTAGCGCGAGCGGTGCACGGTCGCCCCCTCCGTGCAACTTGGAGCTCGGCGGGGGAGGGCAGACGGCCAAGCGACGATGTCCGCGCGGCGAAGGGACGCGGCGCTCCCCGTGTCGCGCTCCTTCGAGCTCCCGGCCACCGTGGTCCAGCTGGAGCCCGTGCGCGTTTGGGTGCTCAAGGCGATCCGCAAGGTAAGCCACCTCGCGGGCAGGCGGTGGTGGCACGGCGATTCCTTCTCTTCCCTCACTTCACCCGGGCCCCCCGCTCTATCGGCGATAGCAATGCGGGGGAGATTGGCGACGCGATGAGTGAGATTAGATGGTGTTGGTGTAGACGATGGATGATAGTTGGAGATGAGCGAGGTGCTATGAGATGATGAGGGAGATGTGTAAGGGAGCGGTGGTACAGCGCTAGGAACCAGGCCACCTAAGTTCGATTCCCGCTCGCGGCCAACAACACCGATGGCGATTATCTGAACAGGTCCTGCGGTTCTCGTCGGTCGACTGAGCCTCAAGTGAGTACCTGGTGCGGTGTTGTTAACATCGGCACTAGGGGTACAAAGGCGGCCGGGCGTGATGCTGGCCACCCACCCCCTCGTGTGCCGTGCTGGACTTGATGGGTGCTACTCGCTAACATGTTAAAGCCGCAGGGGGATCTTTGAAGACGCGAGGATGTACGTGAGATGAGAGGTGAATGATGTAGGATATGCGCTCGATGAAGGTGCATGCGTGAGAAGAGTGATGCGATGGGTGAGATGAGACAAAAGGAATGGTGAAGGGAGATGATGAATGAAAACAGATGGGTTGATGAGTGAGGAAGGTTCATATGTGGGGAGTATGGGGAGCGGTGGCACAGTGATTATCTCGTTGTGCAATGAGCCCGGCGAGCCGAGTGACAGCTATCTGGACCCGTCCTGCGCGTCAGCATTAAACGAGTACCTGGTGCGATGCGTAAACATCGCCACTAGGGAGACAAAGGCGGCCGGGCGTGATGCTGGCCACTCACCTCCTCGTGTACCGTGTCGGCCTTCATAGGCGCTCGCCAACGGCACTTTCTCCAATAGTCACACGGGGAATCTTTTTTATGCTGAGGAGTGAGAGGATGAAAGGAGATTGTGAGAGAGAATGAGACGAGAGACGATTAGTGAGGTAAAACAAAAAGGATGAGAGAAGTATTTGAATGCAATATGAATCCTGCTCAATCCAGTGTCACTCAGAACAGCCCCGCGGCTGGTGCATAACGGACCGGCACCTGCGTTGATTTCCTCCAAGCGCAACTTCCCATTGAAAGTAGTGCAGTTCGTTGACTTCGCAACCGGCCACTCTATTTACCGAGGTTCTCAATGAGTTAAAGGCAGCAAGCAACCCACGTCGCATTTTGTCTTATTCCCTCCCATTAGAACTTTGGAAATATTCTACTCCGTTAATTGACGCATAAACAGTAACCGGATATTTTTAGTCGCTTCAATCTCTCGTTGCGTTAATACAACACCAACTTTGAAAGTAGCTCAGGTGCAATCAGTCCCAAAACTGATGATTAATCTTGTCTGAGTAACTTGCATTGCTACTTGCCTTGGTTACTTTGTAAAATGATGGAATCCATTATCAGCGATTTAGCTTCTCCATTTGAACTTTGTACATTCTCAGTGATCTTAGTACGGATTCAATTGAGCACGATCTACAGGTGACATGTTAACGTATGTGACTCATGTTTGGAATTGATTATTTGAAAATGGTGGATAATATATGTTTCAATCCCTTGTGAAGCACTTGGTCGTGTTTGTGTGTATGTTGAACTTCTTTCGCACCGTACGTAGCCAACCGTGCTAATCGGAGATGCGTGTCTGGCATTGCTCACTACTTTCCAAGTAATCATCAGTTGGAGTCCAACTCTAATATGCAAGTTTCGATTTGTAGCTTTCAAAACTGATAGGTGTATACAGTGTCATAAGTTAAAAGTAGCCTGTCTGATACCGTCACAGCTAACTTTTGTATTCTGCAACCTTGGCTAGATTGTCTCCAATGTTATTTCCTCACTTTATTCTTGACTCATTGTCTTATACTCACAATATGATCCACTCCATCGCAGGTGGCTGTGAACGTAATGCATCACTCATTTAAATCACAAGCTCAAATTAAATGTTGTATAGCAGTCGACACTGACTTGAATACGACGATTGAATTGGGTAACAAAAAACTGAGGCCAAATTACTGAACGGATCGTGCAATTCTATAAATTGGGTAGGCCAAGATTTGTCCCATTTCCGAATCTCTACGGGATATCCGCAAGGGGATTGCGTACATTTCCCTGACATTGTAATGGTGGGTAGGACCAGCCTTAAGTCCTACATAGTACAAAGATCCCCCATATAGCCTGTATGAGCTGTTGGGACAAGCGCTATTAGGGATCTCAAAGCACTGTACAAGACACAGCAGCAGCAGACACTCAGCATAAGTAAGTGCCTGGTGCGATGTGTAAACATTGCCACTGGGGAGACAAAGATGCTCGGGTGTGGTGCTGGCCATTCACCCACTCGTGTGCCATGCCGGCCTTCATTGGTGCTGTCTAACAGCACTTGCCCTAACAGTCTGTTAAGGGTGTAATGGAAGTCTTTTTTGTGTTTTGTGCATGCTGGTGTCTGTGTGTGGACTGGTGTCTGCCTGTTTGTGTGAGTTTTACGCACTTCCGATGAGCACGGTTGGCTACGTAAGGTGCAAAAGAAGTTCAACATACATATGTATACATCTGCCAGTCATCTCAGTCAGTTAGCCCATGGTATCTTGGTCTGTCCCGTGACCTCGTGGCAGCAAGGCTTCGACACTGCACACTGCCTTAAAGTGCACATAGCCTGGCACAAGCACATTGGTGATGTCACAGACACTTAGCGGCGAATGACGATCATTGTCGTTGTTGTTTACGCGGCTCCCCTGTGAATTCCTCAGCATGTGCAGGGAGAGCCACCCTCCAGCCGGGCCCTGGCCAGCCTCGTGGGACAGCTGCTCACCTTTCAAGAGGAGGTGGCCGGCGTTCCGGGTGGCCCCTTGCCCACGCGCATTCCGGTCTGCAGTGGCACCCTCCTACACACAGCCGCCACCACAGCACATAGCGCACCTGCCTCCGATAGATTACTGTTCATGGGTGATTTCAATCTTCACGTAGACTCACAAAGATGTTCTTTGTGCTAGGGATTTCCTGGCTACTTTAGACTACTTCCCTGATTAGCACGGTTGGCTGCATACGGTGCGAAAAATCTTGATTTAAAGCTTTCGTGACTGCAGGAATCCATACTCCTTGGTTCTTTCGGTAAAGTCACGTAGGTAGAAAAAATAATAGATCACGACTTTTCGATCGCAATGCAAGCAATCGCTATCAGGCGCCTGATGACGATTGCTTGCGTTGCGATCGAAACGTCGTGATATATTATTTTTTCTACCTACGTGACTTTACCGAAAGAACCAAAGGGTGCGAAAGAAGTTCAACATACATACGTTCTTCAGTTTCACTCAATATGTTAAGTCGCCCATCCATATTTAGGGTCATATATTCGACTTGGCGTCGACCCGAGGACGACCACAGAATAAGCGGTATGTCAGCTCATTCCGTGGTGTTGTTTGACATTTTGGTTCCTTCACCTCTCATTTTTAAGCACCAGATTAGATATCACAGTCTCAAATACATCACTTCAGACATAGGTTCTTCAATAATTGTTGTCCTTCTCACTGCACATCCGATTAGCGCTCTTGCCTACAAACATACATATCCTAGACCAGGGGTCAGCAACCAGAATAAGAAGAGCAATTTATTTTTCATTCGGTAAAAAAACAATGCATGTGAATACGAGACGGTGGTCCTTAATAAATAATGTCACGTGGCAGTCCTTTAAGAGTCTTGTGCGGCTCCGGAGCCGCAGGTGTGTTGGAGAGCCAAGACAGAGGTTCTTTGTTAGCCATCTGGCTACCATGAGAGATTCGTTCATGAGGCTATCCACATATACAAGCACAGAGACAATTTCAACCGAGAAGATGAATTCTGGCTTAGCAATCACTGGAAGGGTTGGATAAACTATTTCAGGTCTTAATTGATTGTTCAGCTTACGGTGGCTTTCAGACAGCATACATTAATTTTTTGTCTCCCCCCTCCTCTTTTCAGAACATAGATGGACTCGTCCTTCTAAATAAACTGCCAAATCGCTGCCTGTGGCGCTAACGTTTTTTTAAAATAAATAAATGCACCGTTTAAAAATAGGTAAATAAATGCAAACCGACACTTCTTTCAAATGTTTGTTGCCGTTGTTTTTTCACACCTGATGATGACCGTTTGTGTTATGGTCGAAACGTCGTGAGAATTTTTATTGTTTTATATATATTTTATTGTTTCCCTTCAACGTGACTTTACCCAAAGAGCTAAGAATATCAAAGGGATAATTATTTGAGGCCATATACACTGAATATTCTCAACTAATCACAACCAGCAATGTTGAAAAACTGTCAATACCAACTCCTCTTTTGAGACCTTTTTCCCAATCTTAAAATCTATTTATAAGGCTAGGCTAACCTTACCCTTTCAGTGAAAACTGCATCAAATATAAACATTTGAAAATGTTTTGTATATTCTTGGGTCTTTTGGTAAAATCACGTAGATAGGTTTCAAAGAAAATACCAAAAAATAACAAAAAAACTGCGACGTTTCGATCGCAACACAGACGGTCGTCTTCAGGAAAAGTCGACCGCTTGTGTTGCGATCGAAACGTCGTATTTTTTTAATTCTTTTTTAAAAATGTATTTGAACCTATCTACGTGACTTTACTGAAAGACCCAAGAATATTAATTCTTGCAGTCACGAAAGCTTTAAGTCAAGATTTTATGGTTTGTATACAGTAAAATCTTGGATTGTGAGTAACTTTGTCTGCGAGTGTTTTGCAAGACGAGCAAAAATTTAAAATAAATATGAATTTGATAAACGTGCGAGGTCTTGCAAAATGAGTAGTACGTATACGCTTTGTCTACCGAGCGTCACGTGATCACAACTGATATACGAGTGTTTTGGATTACAAACACGTTTCTAGAACGAATTATGCTCGCAATCCAAGGTTTTACTGTATTTATAACCTTAGATTTAACCAAATTTACATTGAACTTCAAATTTCTAACTCTTCCACAACATTCGAATTTACAGTTAATATTCACCAATGTGAATTCCCTTCTACGTGACTTTACCGAAAGAACCAAGAATATGTTATATGAAGTTTTTATATTCGCTGATAAGTGAATATGCACAAATCATCATACGTTTGACAAATGAGAGCCTTATTTTCACTGTTGGAAGACTGATTCCAGAGCTTAAATTAGTACCATATCATGTCTGGTTCCTTGCTTTAATGTTCTTTATGCCATCTGCTTAAAAAAAAAATCTCGTGTGGAAGTTGTTCCCTAACCAGTGCATTGCTCTCTTTGTGCAGATGAAATGTTTTTTGGATTTCAAACCCGGAGGTGGGCTCTGTCACATTCTCTCTTCAGTGTTCAAGTTTAAGGAGGAGCAAAGCTGGTAAGGCCTGCCTTCCCTAGGTGCACAAAAATCAGAGCGAGATTTGCAGCAACGAGATGTGGGGGGGGGGGGAGGGAAACTTGGCGAGCTTTACCGTTTGAATTTGTTTCGTTTTCTGCGGCCGTGCATTTCGCTGCACAGGCGGCGGTTTGACTTCCAGAGCCCGTCGCGAGTTGACAGCAACACGGAGCTGTTGGTCTCAGTCGAGAAGGCTCTGCTACAGGTAAAGTTGCTCGCAAAGTTGTGTGAACAATCTCTTTACACTGTGTACAGTAATACCTCGATATAATAAGTAGATGCGTCATTCCTGGAGCTTCATCCGTATCTCGAACCTTTGTATGTTGAACAACTCATCACATTAGTACTATCAGGATGCGTTCCCAGCGTTCATAACTTGCCATTTAATACCATAAGAACGTCATAACTTACTCATATTGTGAACAAAAACTATATTAAAATATATTTTATACTGTACAGTATTAAAATTAATAACTGACATAAACAAAAGAAACATAGTGTACTGTTCTGTAAGATATGTTCACACTCGCCGATGTAGTCTTCGGTGCAGTTGGAGGTTGCATTGCCCACCACACACCATCATCGCTTTGTACACAGTGCATTGCTGCGCACTCATTGGCCAAGTCAAATGTAAACAAAGATTATATGATGCATCGCGCGCGATAAGCAAAGCTCAAAAAACGTATCTTATTTTTATTTTATAGTTATTTATTTAGTACCATATGTGGATATGTTTATTATTTATTTATTTATTTTGGTGCGTTTATTATTTAACTTGAATTTTTACCACGATTATAATGGTGATGAATCCAAAGTTCCTCATACTGAAACCTCGTATATCAAATATTAGCATTTTGAGATATTACTATAATGCATTTCTAAATTTTTTCCAACTAAAATTGTATATTATTGAATTAGCTCTGTGTGTCTGTGTCTGTCTCTCCGTCAGTCTGTAGCTGGGAGGGTGGGGTCACGATAACTCGAAAGATAGTCCAATATAAGTACAATTTTAATATGAACTTAAATTGATATTAGGGGCTCTGATAGAATACTTGTCAAGTTTATCAAAGGTTTGCCAAAAACTTGGCAATAAAAATAATTGATAATGAATTAGGCTGTTCGGCTCAGACAATGACATAACACATTCCCCCATGATGTCATTGCCTGTGACATCATCCCACGGGGTCCCACGTAATGCACATGGTCTCCCCTGCCAACCACCTCGTGTCATTTCTAGTCAAGACATCACGTCATGTGCTGTGCGATGTCACCTCATCGAGCATCTCTGTAGGCAACATTGTCTCTGATTAATACTTTGTCTCTGATTAATACTTTGTCTCTGATTAACACTTTGAAAAGGATTACAGAATCCGTGCCTATGCATGACTTCTTGAAAGGTTAATTGCCGGTATTTGCAAAATAATGTTTAATTGGCATATTTGATAATGTCTGGTTTAAACACATTAAGGATTGAAATATTTAGCATTATCTATGTTATTATTTTATTGTTTCCCTTCTACGTGACTTTACCGAAAGAACCAAGAATAAGTTTAATCAAGTCGTCGAAAATATATTTTAGGAAAAATACACATTTTTGGAGTAGTTGTTAGTGTCTTATTGTATATATAAAAAAACAAAATCATATCAGGTTAATTATTATATTTATTTAAAACTTTTTCCTCGTGAAGAGAGGCTTCATGAACTTGTGAATAAATAAATTCATATCATACGTTATTATTTACAATTGACTTTCATAATGTCACTTCCTTTTCGCTTTGTGGCCATGGTTAACGGTAACAGAGGAGTAGATCATTCTGTAACAGAGTAGTGGATCATTCTAAAGGAAGTGTAGAGGGAAGCACTTGGCGTGTAAACAGTGCAGCAGGCAAAGACAAACTGAGAGGGAGAGCATTGTGCGGGTGACTTTCGCACCCCCGATTAGTATGGTTGGTTATGTACGGTGCGAAAGAAGTTCAACATACACTGTACCTCCAATTGGCACGGTTGGCTACATACGGTGCGTCTTTCAACACGACTGAACGCATTTGAACAGAGTCAGTCTGGTTTCCAATGTGACTTGGTATGGAGCTTTTGTTATTTTCAAGTGTTTTTGTGGACATTTATCTCTTAAATCCCGTTAAATATGGCTGATAAAAGGAAAAATACATCGGCAGGTGATGTTTCTACTGCCTTTGGGAAAACAGAATCCCATTCATGACGATCCACTTCACGACGACGGTTTCCAGGAATGCATGGTAATGTCGTAAAAGCGGGACCCGCCTGTATTTTAAACACAACCCGTGAATTAAAAATTCTACAGGAATAAAATTGTTGCTAATACACAAAACACGCCATTATAAAACCCACAAACAATAAAGGTTTACTGTATTTGCAAAATACGTGGTGAAGATGATACTGATGATGATAGCCATCAAGGTTTTAATGATCCTTACTCATGTCATATTTCTTGCCTCCCCATTCAATAGAATGGACTCATTTCCAGACCAATAATATTTCTACAGCCAGATCTTGACCCCAAGCTGACTGCCAAGCTGAAAGACATTGCACGCAAACACCAGGTAATATGAATGTTTATAGCCAGTGCAGCTGGGTATAAATCTGCACTCTCAACACTTAATTTTTTATTGAATTTCTTTAAAAGAAATACGGCTTTTTTTTTAAACAATACCTGGTTTAAATGAGACACCTGGGATAGGAGTACATTTAGACATTTCTTAGTTCTAAAATAATTATATGGTATATCATCAGTCATGATCAATCCACAAGGTAACAAACGCGGTGGGATTTTCTGAACAGTAACACCCCGATTTACGCCCTCCACTATATGTACTTTCACTACAACATACTCAACTTACTTATACCCAATCCAGCTTTATGTACTTTGGTACCTCGCCATAGCGTGTTTCACATTTACGAACTTTACCATGAAGACCCAACATTGTTTACGTTCCACGGCAAACATTCAAGCGTCAGCATCCCTGACTGGCTACAGTTTCTTTCCCTTGTACTCTACGAATATTTTTCCCCCACATACCATATTCATGGAAACTATTTTTGTACAGTGTAAACTATTTTTTATAGGATAAACAACATAATAATGCGTACAGTGTAATAATCAAGGTTATATATCAATAATATACACTTACTTTTCACGCCGATGGTTGTACAGTATAGATGCGCAATTTGGTGACTGAGGATCTTCTGTTTAGGGACTGTACCACATTACAATCCACCAAAAATGCTTTGGTTCAAGTACTTTCGATTTGCGTTCTGGTTTTCAGGAACACATCCTGGGCGTGTTTTGTGTACAGGGACTCCTCTACTTATGAACTTTCAGAGATACGAACTTTCAGAGATACGAACAAACCTGTCTCTATGTCCATTTGCCTGATCAGATGGAGAGTAGTAAGTTTAACCACCTTGCAATAGATGGCGGTGGTAGCGTCTACATCTGCAGAACATGAAGAACCAGTGGCATCTACATCTACAGGAGATTATACAACTGTTTAAAGCCATTCCCCCTGTTTAGTGTACACGCCGTACAACATGTTTGCAATCGACAGGAGTAAAGCTTGACTTACGTACAAATAGACTTACGAACAGATCTCTGGAACCTAACTCATTGGTAAGTAGAGGGATCGCTGTATATGGATCGTCATATGATGCAGTATAAGCCGAGTGTGCTAATGTATGTACCGATGATTTAAATACTTTTCCACAGGCTACAACCACAGAGGATAAAGGCTTCGCAACTCACGTTGTGTATCCTGCACCACCAGCTCCTCCTGCAGAGGGTGAGATCTCAGCTGCATGGTGCCGTGTAGCAATGATTCAGAGCATTAAGGCTTAAAGAGATTAATTTAAGTCGCATTGTGGTACACATACAAAGAAACCCCTCTGAGCTGTCATCTTCTTGTTCATGAACTAACGGTTAATAAAAAAAATGACAGGTTTTTTTTCCGAGGGCGCAGCAGGGTGGTTCAGTGGTACAACTCGCGTATCACGGGCAAGAAGGCCTTGCATTTGATTCATAACTCGGTGCCTTTCTGCGTGCAGTCTTTGTTCTCCCCCTGTTCTGTGTGGGTTTCCTCTGGGCTGTCATCTTTCCTCCCATGGCCATGGCAAAAAAAATACTGTACAGTGTAATTGTTATTGACCAAATATACCAATGCTGTAAAATGACGTCACAAATTACTGGATTGGGATTATACACAGCAGCAGCAGCATCACCTCCTACTGTGAAAACTTGGTAGGATCCTCCTGAAAAACCCTTGAGACTCAAGTGATTCTGATTGACTGATTGAGGGTGCCATGGTGGCATGATGTTAACTACCTCGCCTGGTACAGTCGCCTCGCGTTTTTGGGTGTTTACGTAACGTGATTTTTAAATCGTGCGTTAGATAAATTTACACAAATTTTTTTGTTATGCGTGCACTATTATTGAAATAGCGAGCTCCAGCGCTTTGGCCATGGTGTACAGAACGCGCTGCAAGCTAATCGTCAGTTTGCCAGCAAAGTTCAGTTGCGATGCCTGAGGTGCAGCAGTATTTCAACCACAAGTACGAGCAGCATCCGCATCTCCTCGCACGCCATTTTGAAGATCTTGTCCGCGTGAACTTGTCCGGTGCACACATTCTAACGCGCCATCATCTCCACCATCGTCATAATCCGATGATGATGACCACCCCCTCCCCTCTCTCTCACCAGTAACCCCACCACTCTACTCCTCCCCTCCCCTCCACCAGCCTCAGTACGCCGATACTAAGCATCTCACTAGGTGTCAAACATCTTTTTGTTTTACTTATAAAAAATGTATATTTTCAGATTTTAAATAGGCCGTTACTATACTTAATACATGTATGGTAGATTTAAAGCTTTCGTGACTGCTAGGATCCATACTCTTTGGTTCTATTGGGTAAAGTCACGTAGGTGAAAATAAAATAACAAAAAATCACGACGTTTCGGCCACAACACAAGCGGCCTTCATCAGGTGAAGGGACGAGACTGTCTGGAGGACAGCGCTGGAGTGAGAGAAGCCACGCTTAGATCACGACCTTTAAGCTGTGTGAGAAGAAAACAAAGCGCCTTGACAAAGGAATTAGCATATAATTTAGCATTGAAATGGCTCATTGAAATAGCTAAGTTAAAGTATACACATCCGCAGAGGTACCCCTTGACAAAGGAATTAGCATAGAATTTAGCATTGAAATAGCTGAGTGATTAGCTTGTAACTGGTCACAGAAATAGCTATGTTAAAGTCAGAGCATATACATTCACCGAGGCACCTAGTACTAATCAAACAGGAGAATTTAGCGAAACACAACCACGCTCAGACAGCGGACCTTTAAACTGTGTGCGAGCAAACAAGGTGTTCTGACAAAGAAATTAGGATAAAAATTAGCATTTGATTGGCCAATTTTAGGAAAGAGGTGGTGTACGTGCCGGTGGACTTGCCGTTTGGCGCGGGGGGGGAGGGAGTTTACCTATTGATGGTGTGAAAAGGGAATTTATAAGAGCTGCGAAAGTTTGGGGTACCACTACTTGAAAAAATATACTGTACCATTGAAATTAGTTTAATGTTTAGTTCGATTTAGAACATCTTTCCAATGGTTGCTTAATTTGAAACCATCTTCTCGGTTGAAATTGTGTCTGTGTTTGTAGATCTGAATTCAGATCTACAAACACAGAATTCAGATCTACAAACACAGAATTCAGATCTACAAACACAGACACAATTTCAACCGAGAAGATGGTTTCAAATTAAGCAACCATTGGAAAGATGTTATAAATCGAACTAAACATTAAACTAATTTCAATGGTACAGTATATTTTTTCAAGTAGTGGTACCCCAAACTTTCGCAGCTCTTATAAATTCCCTTTTCACACCATCAATAGGTAAACTCCCCCCCCCCCCCGCGCCAAATGGCAAGTCCACCGGCACGTACACCACCTCTTTCCTAAAATCGGCCAATCAAATGCTAATTTTTATCCTAATTTCTTTGTCAGAACACCTTGTTTGCTCGCACACAGTTTAAAGGTCCGCTGTCTGAGCGTGGTTGTGTTTCGCTAAATTCTCCTGTTTGATTAGTACTAGGTGCCTCGGTGAATGTATATGCTCTGACTTTAACATAGCTATTTCTGTGACCAGTTACAAGCTAATCACTCAGCTATTTCAATGCTAAATTCTATGCTAATTCCTTTGTCAAGGGGTACCTCTGCAGATGTGTATACTTTAACTTAGCTATTTCAATTAGCCATTTCAATGCTAAATTATATGCTAATTCCTTTGTCAAGGCGCTTTGCTTTCTTCTCACACAGCTTAAAGGTCGTGATCTAAGCGTGGCTTCTCTCACTCCAGCGCTGTCCTCCAGACAGTCTCGTCCCTTCACCTGATGAAGGCCGCTTGTGTTGTGGCCGAAACGTCGTGATTTTTTGTTTTATTTTCACCTACGTGACTTTACCCAATAGAACCAAAGAGTACATGTATGGTAGTATTAGAAATATATAATATCTGCGCTGTAACCAGGGAAATATTTAGGCATAAGAATTAGGTTCGATATCATGCTCTCGCTAACCCCAACCATTTTATTTCTTATGGGAAAAATAGGTATAATTTACGCTATTTTGAGTTACGTGCCATTTTTCAAAAACACAACCCCTTCGTAAAACAAGAGGTCACTGTATAAGGAGGTCGTGAGTTCAATGCCGACCCTGATGCCTGCATATTTGGAGTTTGCAGGTTTTCCCCGTGGTCAGATGGATTTTTCTCTCAAGTCCTCCAGTTTTTCCCTCTACATTTAGAATCACGTGTTTAGAGTATTTGGCTACGATACATTTCCACATGATAAGCCACTTCGTTGAGCTATTATTTTTGGCCAGGTCACTTATGAAAAATAGTTATATAGCTCAGTGGGCCTTACCTGGTCAAGTAAAAATAATTTAGTTTCGTTTTAGTCCTGGGTTAACAAGCTTCGTTGTAATAATGTTCTCATGACCCTGTTAATTACTGGAGTCATACAAAATTGTGAATATATTTGTGTTGACGTGCAGGGTCACCTGGGTACATATGGGTCCAGCAGTGCTGCCTTTGGACGGTTGAGACCAATGGTTCTTGACCTCCGGCACTCGTGACCCCCTGCAGTGCAGCAGCGTTCCGTGATCAACCCCTATCACTCGTGCGCCAGCATCATCATTTTCAATTGAATGAAAATTTTCGTTGAATCTGAAACAGTGCATCATGGGGTGGGGGGGGGGGAGTTACAAGGCCTGGAGCATGAGAATTGCTGGTGGAAATGATTACAAGGTTGACTATATTTGTTTCTCTGTCTCCATGTCCTTTGTTGGCTAAACGTGGATTCCTGATCGCTGTCTTACAGAAGATTGGGTTCGTCCCATTCAGAGGAAGGACAAGCAAGTGCTTCTACACTGGGGCTACATGGCTGACAGGTCTGGGTTTTTTTCATTTTATTGCGCTTGTTATTCTCAGGACATTTGATTACTTGGGAAGTTTACTGACATGGGACGACTGCATAAAAGACATAAGAGCGCGAATTTGCAAAGGCAAAAGGAGTAATCGCAGGATTGAATACCATCTGGAAAAGCAAGAAAGTAAGCTCCAAGACCAAATTGAACATCTTAAGAACATGCGTGTTTAGTACAGCTTTGTATGCCTGTGAGAATTGGACGTGAAAAAAGACTGAAAGAGATAAGATATTGGCACTGGAAATATATTTCTACAGAAGGATACTGCTGCATCTAAGCTGGACCCAAAGAGTGACTAACGTAGAGTAAGAAAAAGGTTGCACATTGAAGAAGATCTGAGAAGGAAACTGGCACTATTTAGGCATATGTAGGATAGACGACAGGAAAATTAAATGCGTATTGTTTGGAGAAATGGAAGGAACTTGAAAGAGAGAAAGAGCACAGAGAATGAGATGACGATGACCTGAGAGATTGGTGCCAGAAATATGTGGTACTACTTGAGCATGTTGGCACAAGGCAGAGCAATCAACAATAGAGGTTTCTTTGGGTTAGATCGCATAAATATAAATGTGTCGTTAAACCCGCCATGTCAACAAAACATGCCAATTAGTTACTAGTTCATCACACCGGTGTGTTGGAGAGTAAACTTACAACATTTACAATACAAGTGTAATGTGCGACTTCCACGACACGTCGTGTAGAGGGTACTCTTCTTTATTCCACGGCACGGCACAGGCCAACGTTATCGGCGTCCTCTCCAGGCACACACTTAGATGTTACATTCTACAGACTACACACACGGTTGATCACACGGCTGGTTCCGCCTGTCCGCTCCGGGTCTCGCCGCTGGCTGTCGGCGTGCCGGGGAGGGCGGTGGAGCTTTGCCGGAGATCCGCCACGTGGCCAAACGACAGAGAGATATGACGACGAGCAGCGACGCAGTCCGGACCCAAGACTTCACACACCGACCTCGAGTCCTTATATTCTCGCAGGCGCGGCTAGGCTCCACCTCTGGCCACGCCCTCTCGTGGAACTTTCTAGCCGGTTCTCGGAGTTTCGTGGCGTGCCCTACCCTTCACCTTTGGCCTAGATACCTTCCCCTTCGGGGATTGGATAATGTTTATAATGGTGCCTGTACCCGTGCTACTCTTTACCAACCAGTAGATGTCACTATCTGATTACACAAGTACGAGTTCAATGTGCTGAACTAGTAACGAATTTGCATGTTTTGTTTACGTGACAAACATTACTAATTGGCTGTGTCAGGTGGTGGCAGGTTAAGTGACACATTTATATTCATGCGATCTAACCAAAAAACCTTTTATGGATAATATTGGTCACAAAAGACTACGTTTTAAACTAGCTAGGGGATGTTAACTTCGTCGCATAGTATACAGGAAGTCATGAGTTTTATTCCGACCCTGTCGCCTGCATATTTGAAGTTTGCATTTCTCTCATCGTGGTTGCGTGGATTTTTCTCCAGATCCTCCAGTTTTTCCTTCCACATTTAGAAACATGCGTTTAGAGTATTTGGCTGCTATACATTTCCACGTGATAAGCCACTTCGTTGAGCTATATAGCTCAGGGGGCCTTACCTGATCAAATAAAAAATAGTTTAAATAATTTATGAGGAAATGACCGAATTTGGCAAAATTTGACTGACGTTCAGTACACAGTGGCCCACTCTTTCAAACGACATGACAAGGATCTTTATTATCCACACCGAAGTAGATGTCACGTACTTTATGCTGAGTACACCCACAGAGTATAAACCCGGGCAGCCTGCCTGAAGCAAACCATGAACCTGTGCCTAGAGCGGTGAACGTGCTACCGCTGAGCCTTGCCACCACTACCACCACCACCACATTTAATGATCTCATTATTTCATCATTAAATGTACTTCTAGAGCTCTGGAAAGCAAAATCAACGTGAAATCCCTGTGCTCCTGAGTATGGGCAGCAGCCTTGTTTGTTATCCTATTTACATTGTGCATTTTTAAGGAAATATATACGTGAATTGGATTGGGCTAGTTATTTTCTCTCATCATACAAATCTGCGCACTGATGGTGTCTGTGGACTGGGAAAGGTGTGTTGAGTTTTTAATAAGTGCGGTGGTATGGGAAATGTGAGATAAAATGCTTAATGCTATGTTGAAAAAGGGCTTGAGGATATACCTTGAAGTTCACAGGGCCAGATGAAACATTCCGCCAAAACCATGCTGCCAATCCTTATCCTGTTGAACTAATTTTCTCTAATGAAGCGAAGGGTTTCTTTCATTGATGAGCAATCTTGTGGATGGGGACTTGGTGCTTGGGTAATGCATGTGTGTGCTGTGGTATGTGTATAGCCGCGGAGCCGTAGTGTACCAGTTAGCGCTCTGCTATGAACCCAGCGACCCGAGTTCGGTTCCTGCTCACGGCCAACACCAGTGACTATTATCTGAACCATTCCTAGGCCTCCCCTGGGTCGAGTCAGCCTCAAATAAGTACCTGGTGTCCTTTATAAACATCACTACTGAGGAGATAAATGTGGCCGGACATAGTGCTGGCCACCCATCCCCTCGTATGCCGTGCCGGCTTTTATAGGTGCTCGCTAACGGCACTTTCCCCGAAAGTGTGTTTAGGCTATACGGAGGATCTTTGTCTTTATGTTTATAGCTGACTTGTGCACCACGGTGGCCACATGTTAACTTCCTCGCCTGGTATACAGGTCGTGGGTCCGATCTCAACTCTTTAGATTTGTATTTATTTGGGGTTTGCATGTTCTCCACATGGTGACGTAAATTTTTCTCCGGGTCCTCTGTTTTTTCCCTTTCACGTTTAGAATCAACATGCATTTAGAGCATTTGGCTCCTATACTTTTCCGCAAGATGATAAGGCTATCGTTTAGCTATCGTTTGTGATAGCCAGGTCGCATGTGAAAAAGAGCTATATAGTTCAGTGGGGCCTCACCTGGTAAAATTAATACTAGTTTGGTTTAGTTTAGCATTGCACATGCCGTATGTGCGAGTGTTAACCCAAGGGGTGTTGTGCTTCCTGTGACAGCTCTGATTCGTGGCTGCCCGCGAGCGAAGCAGTGCTACCAGTGGAAGAGGCACCTCATCCTGTCACCCCCTGGAAGGTGAGGGCAGCCACCCTTTACTCCACGACACGTGAGCCGCACATTACTTTGGTTAATTTCACCAGTCTAGCCAAGATTCAGCAAACATATGCGACATTGCTTACGTCTCTTTGCAAGGGAAGTCTATCTGTAGTTATGTCCTAGAAGCCATAACTCCTCTTTATGTAATGAAGCGGAAGGGTCACAGAGAGAGGTTTGTGCCTTGTCTACAGCATGGAGTCCCCTTGAGTTTTTTTGGTTCACATTTGCGCCCGTCATGAGCGAAAATGTAAGAGTGGTGCAGCGGTAACACCTGTGTATCGCACTCGAGCCTCTTTCGTGTGGAGTTTGTATGATCTCTCCCCCTGTTCTCCGTGAGTCTTCTATTGGTGTTCAACTGTTTCCTCCCACAGTAAAAAAACAAACACAGAATGTAAGTGATGGTGGCCAAACATCCCAGTGCTGTGAAAATTACCTGAAATTACTCAATTGGAATCACACACAGCAGCAAGATCACCCCCTTCAGCAAACAGGTGGCTGGACCCTCCGAAAATAGTTTGACTCCGCGAGGCTTTCCTGGGTAAACAAACTTCATGATAATAATGATGAACACTACGTGTAATGTAATACCAGCGTTCATGCATGATATGAGTCGCCATGGTGGCTAGGAGACGTTAACTACTTCTCCTGGTATAGAGGAGGTCGTGGGTTCGATCCCAACCCTGATGCCTGTATATTTGGAGTTTGCATGTCTCTCTCACTCCCCTTGGTCACGTGGATTTTTCTCCGGGTCCTCCAGTTTTTCCCTCCATATTTTGAAACGTGTTTAAGAGTATTTGGCTGCTATAAATTTCCACGTGATAAGCCACTTCGTTGAGCTGTCATTTGTGGTCAGGTCACTTGTGAAAAAGAGCTACATAGCTCAGTGGGCCTTACCTGGTAACTTAAAATAAATAATTCAGTTTAGTTCTCTGTAAAAACTTGGCATGCAACATATTAGTATAAAGGCTTTTACGCCTGGTCTTTCTCACATTTGCGTAGGAGGTACGATGCGAGTGTTAAAACATTTCTAGAGGTGGAAACTGCTCATTGTCGACCAGACAGATAATCACATGACGTAGATGTCCTGTAGAAGGTACGCAGTGGAAGGGCCCGACGGACAACAGTCTTGCAGATAAGATGGTGGCAAACAAAATGAGTTTTACCATGGTTTCTTCATGCATCACAACACACTTAGGTAAAGCACTACAGAGTCTATTGGGCTGTTTCAGAAGTTAAATCAATTATTGTTGGCTTGACTTGTCGGAGAAATGCTTTTATGATTAGGCTGTCAGGTCAAACGTTTATTTGGAGCACCGTGCTTGGAGTATGTCTGTGGCCACTGATGAGCGTTAGTCCCTTCGTGTAAGTTTGTCGACCCAAATGAGGCTTTAGTGAGGAGACCCTTATCCAGACCACCAGCACACCAGAACTGAATGTGTGGTGGCCATGTTGTCTTCTCGATGAAACCTGTCTGCGGTAGCTTCTTCCTTTTTTCCACTGCTGCTGGTTTGGGATGGCCACATTTTCTATATTCTGTGAGTTAGTTGTTTGAACCAGTGGTTCCCAAACTCTACGGCTCGCCACCGTCGCTCAAATAGGTCGCAAGAACTAAACAGTGAAGCATATACATTGTGGTTTTAAAATTAATCATGAAATAATGGCCCTACATATCATACTACAGGCAGTCCCCGCTTTTACGACGTCACAAAGTGTTCCCGGGAACCCTGTTGTAAATCGGATTGTCGTAAATTGGGACCCTATTTTCCTACAGACAATAGAAACAGTAGAATCATCACTTGCGGATGTGTTTTTCCTTTTATCAGCCATATTTAACAGGGTTTATTTAATAGGTAAAAATGCACAAAACCACTTTAGAATAACAACACTTCCACGCCCAGTCACATCGGAAACCAGACCGACTCTTTTCTACTGTGTTCGGAGTCTTGTCAGAAGATGCGTCGTAAATCAGGCATCTATATTATAAATCGATCCAAGATGGCATATAAACGTCATGAATTGAACCGCCATAAAATGGAGACTGCCTGTACATGAGGAAAAAAGTTTTGCTGGCTGGCCTACTGTGTGTGCTCTTATGACGTCACCGCATTCACCTGAGTGATGTCACCCGCATCCCACAGTGTTGAGCCGTGTCTCTGCGTCATGCTGATGTCACCCACACCCTCCATCCTGGCTGTGGATCCCGCTAAAATGCACGAGATATGCTATCATACTGTCATACTTTATACAATATTAGACAAAGATTTTGCGGGCTGGCTAGCTGTCGGGAGGGAGGGAGGAGAGATAGATGGCTGCTAGTTTGATATGCCAAAAAAAAACAGACATTAGATAAGACCATTACTAGACTTACACTAATTAGACATGAATTACAACAATGCAGTCCCCCACTTGTGTGTGAAGTGGCCTGCATCGGAAAGCTACCACGCACTTCAACCAACTTCGCCTGTGCGTGGTAGTTATGCCAGTAGTGTGTTCACTGCAGTGTTTCTCAACCTGTTGCATTCCACGACACACTTCATCTGCCCAGCAAACTGAACGAAAACAATCACCGTGAGCCCGGGTGAGTGGGTGGGATTGCATTGTAGTTGAGGGAGAATCATAATCCCTTGCTTTTACTTATCTTACTGAGAACAAGGAAATCAAGGGACACTGCCAAAAACCATGACAATTTTCCCAACTGCATGTATCTCCGTGTGCGTCTTCATGTGTCTTGTGGCTGCATGTCTCTGTGTGTGTCTCTGTGTATGTCTCCGTGTCTCTGTGTATTTGTCTCTGTCTCTCTGTAAATTTGTGTGTATTTGTGTGTCTCTATGGAACGCGACTTGGGAAAGTTTGGGAACCCTCCCTGGTCTAAGCGACCAAAATAGCCACACATTCAGTTATCTTGAACTGGTGGTCTGGATAAGGCTTGTGTGCTTGCCTTGGACAGTTGTGGCTGGGGGTCGGCAAACCACGGCTCCGGAGCCGCGTGCAGCTCTTTAAGGAACCGTTTCGTGAAGTTATTTATTAAGGAACCACCATCTCGTATTCACTACACGCATTGGGGCTCTTGAAATATTGAGTTGTTTTTTTTTACCGAATTTGAACAAAGATGGCTCCTCTTGTTATTTTGGTTGCTGACCCCTGGATATGTGCGATAATTGTCCAAACGACGTCATGATGGAGCTTTCTGAGCCTGTGCGGTTATTTGCCGCTGTTGCCACTGCTGCTACCGCTCCTGCTGCAGGTGCACGCCCGCTGGCTTCTGGACACCGCGCTGCATCACGAGTGGGCGAATGAGGAGGACTACGAGGTGGACGAGGGTGGACGACCGCAGGCGAGGCGGCGCCGTGTCCCTGTGCGTTCCCTGCCTCTTGAGGTCGGTTACTCCTCCCTCGTGCCGCGGTGACTCAGATATGTTAACCACCTTGCCTGGTATGCAGGAGGGTTCCATCCCCGACCGTTTGGTTCACAGCATATCGTAGTGTCGTGTTTCGCACACTGTGCTACAAACCCGGAGACCCAAGTTTGATTTCCACTCACGGCCAACATCATTGACTTCAGAATCTTTATTTATTATTTTTTCTACATTTATAACTCGATAGGGGTTACATATAGCGATATCGCCCTCTATCTCTAAACTATTGCAGACCATCTGTGAAACATAGCGCCTTTGTGACAGCCTTGTACTATAAGAATGGCACGAATATCAAATGTACTAGACTGTGTGTATAGCCACCCCTTGTAGCGAGATGTTAACTACCTCACCTGGTATGTAGGGGGTCACGTGTTCGATCACGACCCTGACGCCTGGAAATTAGGAGTTTGAGTGTTCTCCCCGTGGAGTTTTCTCTGGGTTCTCTGCTTTTTCCCTCCAGATTTAGAATCAACATCATGCATTTAGAGTAGTTGGCTATTATAAATTTCCACTTGATTAGCCACTTTGTTGAGCTGTCATTTGAGGCCCAGTCGCTTCTGAAAAAAACTACATAGCCTTACCTGGTGAAATAAAAATTATATCAACATCATCACCCTTGTAAATGCTATAATTGCTTACTCTTTGGTTCTTTCGGAAAGTCACGTAGGTAGAAAAATAATAGATCACGACGTTTCGATCGCAACACAAGCAATCGTCATCAGGTGGGACAACCACAGCAAAAAAAAACTGCTGAAGTAGGCTAGAGATCTGCCGTGGCACTAGGTTATATAGGCCTCGGCGGTAGGGGGGGAGAGAGGAGGTGGGGGGAGAGAGGGGGCGGGGGGAGAGAGGGGGCGGGGCAGAAAGTGGACCCCGCGGCAGCACTTGGAGAGATCTGAGCGATCGGCTGCAGGGGGGGAGAGAGAAGGGTGAGGAGGAGGGGCAGAAAGTGGAAAGTGGACCCCGTGTGTGTTATAGAATTGACAACTATTAAGTGTTTGTACATATCTACCAGTTGTTAAGATTTTGCGGAGCCCTTTCTGTCACCATCATTTTTACGGCTTTACGCATTCAGGCTGGCTTGCCTACTACGAAATCTTGGTTTGACCAGCCAGGATCATGTAAGGAGCTTACAAATACTTGAAATATCTGGACAAAGTTCCATTGGTGACCTCCATCAAGCTCGGCTACATTGGCTGGGTCATGTAGCCCGCATGTCCAGCCACCCAATGCCCAAGCAGCTTCTGTTTGGCCAGATGGATTGGGCTAAATGGGTGTGGCACAGGCTAGATGGGTGTAGCACAGAAATCGACTGATGTGGTACAGAAGCATGTGGAACTGATTGGACTTGCCGATGATTGGTACCAGCATTGTCAAGGTCAGTCTCTGTGGAGGAGGCTCATGAAGGATGCTACTAGGGAGTTGGGAGGCAGTCGCCCTCCAGCAATAACGGAGAGTGGAGGGGTGATGTTGGCAACAACAAGCAGAGTGCCGGGTGCCTAAAACGCAGAGAGTTGGCACAGTGGAGAACACAGTTGGTGTATCTGCATGGCATCTCAGTCAGTCAATCCATGGCACTTGGGTCTGTTTCGTGATTGCTGGCAGCGAGCCTTCGATACTTCACGTGGCGTAAAGGTGCACATTGACTGGCACAAGCCCCATGGTAATGTCACCGCCACTTAGTAGCGAATGGCAATTGTTGTTACTTTTGGATGTGTATCGTAAAAAAAAATTGGCAGCATATGGGGAGCGGTAATGTAGTGTTTTGCACACTGTGCTACGAGCATGGCGACCCAAGTTTGATTCCTGCTGACGGCCAACATAATTTACTTCAGAATCAGAATCTTTATTGATCCTGGAGAAATCTGATGAGCTATGAAGCTCTTTTTCACAGATGTCCAGTAGGGGCGGGTCAATTTCTGACTTAATATTTGAATCAGTCCTGGCTGTCCCCTAGGTCAACTGGGGAAACAAAGGCAGCCGGGAATGTTGCTGGCTACACCATTCCCTCATTGTTGACCTTCGTAGGTAATGGCTAACAGTGCTTGCCCCAACAGTCTATTCAGGCTATACAGATTACCTTTGTTTATACAAGCTGGTTACCAGTCCATAATATGGACATTAATGTCTTGTATATCTTGACTTAAAGCTTTCATGACTGCAGGCATTCACACTCTTTGGGTCTTTCGGTGAAGTCACGTAGATAGAAAAATAACACACATTAAAAAGTTAGACGTTGATAAGATTGTTATCAATCAGAGTAACAGCCCAATTTCCGACAGCCATGGTGAATTTGATGGATGGGTGTCTGGAATTGATGTGGTCTAGGAAATGGTTCAATGCTGAGAGGCTATGTGGCCAAATGCTGAAAGTGTCATCCACATATCTCTTCCATAGGGAGTGGAGAAAGATGGCAAGCTGCCATTCATGGATGTTCTGTTTGAGAGGAGGACTGATGGCTCTTTGGGACATTCTGTTTACAGGAAGTCCACCCACACAGACTCTTACTTGAAGCCTGATTCCCACCACCACCTGGCTCAAAATAATTATCTCATCAAAACTATAACATAGGGCTAATTGCATTTCTGACCAACACCACCTGGCCAGTGAATTAAAACATGTACATCTGGCCCTCAAGATGAACGGATACTCTGACTGTACTATCCACCAAGCTGTTGCTCCCACCATACAGAAACAACCACCTGATACTCTGATCAAAATCATCACGTTACCATACATAGCAGGCGTTACCAAAAAAATTCCAAAATTCTAAACAAGCACAAAATCAAGGTCCGGTTCAATACAGTACACAAAATCCGTGATCTGATCCCATCCGTAAAGGATGTCATTCCTGACATACAGTACCCCGGTGTTTACAAATTGAGTTGTACCTGCGGTGACTGCTATATAGGGGAGACGAAACAACATATTTCTGACCGAATTCGCGAGCACATCAGATTTGAAACACAGCAGAACGAATCTTCTGCCGTGGCTGATCATTGTTTCAACACAGCGGGTTCTCATGACATTGTTTTCTCCGATACCAAAGTGCTCTGCAAACCTCCCGGTTATTACCAAAGATTTGTCCATGAAGCCATCCAGATATACAAACATAGACACAACTTCAACCGAGAGGATGGTTTTAAATTGAGCAACCATTGGAAAGATGTTATAAACCAAGTCAAAATTTAGCTGCCTTATAATTGTACAGCCATTTCCATTGCTTTCAGTGGGTTGCGTGTACTCGTGCATCTCTTCCCCCGAACCCCCTGCAGCATAACAAAAGGCGGCTTAACTTAGCCCTCCCCCCCACCCACGTCCCCTCCTGGCTCCTTCCCATCCCTTAACCTGTATATAATCTCGGGTGTCTCAGAGCTCTTCACTTGATACAGCTATTCTACTGTGACTGTTCCACCTGAAGACGGAAGCTTGTTCTAGATTTGAAGCTTTCGTGACTGCAAGGATCCATACTCTTTGGTTCTATTCGGTAAAGTCACGTAGGTAAAAAAATAAAACAACAAAAATCACGACGTTTCGGCCACAACACAAGCGGCCTTCATCAGGTGAAGGGACCAGCCTGTCTCGAAGACTGCGCTGGAGTGAAACAGAGCCAAGCTCAGACTGCGACCTTTAAGCTTTGTGAGAGGGATTGAGGTGCCTCGACAAAGGAATTAGCATAAAAAATTAGCATTTGATTGGCGGACTTAGCATGATGAAAGGTGTAGCACGCGGCAGTGCACCTTTAAGCTGTGTGAGAGTAATTAAGCTGCCTTGACAAAGGAATTAGCGTAAAAATTAGCATTTGATTGGCGGACTTAGCATGATGAAAGGTGTAGCACATGGCAGTGCACCTTTAAGCTGTGTGAGAGGGTCACGTAGAAAGAGAATAAAATGATAAATTGATAAAATAAAATAACACAATAAAATTCTCACGACGTTTCGGCCACAACACAAGCGGCCTTCATCAGGTGAAGGGACGAGACTGTCTGGAGGACAGCGCTGGAGCGAACAAAGCCATGCGCAGATCGCGACCTTTAAGCTGTGTGAGAAGAAACAAAGCGCCTTGACAAAGGAATTAGCATAGAATTTAGCATTGAAATAGCTGAGTGATTAGCTTGTGACTGGTCACAGAAATGGCTATGTTAAAGTCAAAGCATACACATTCACAGAGGCACCTAGTACAAATCAAACAGGAGAATTTAGCATTGAAATAACTAGGAGAATTTAGCATTGAAATAACTGAATGATTAGCTTGTGACTGGTCACAGAAATGGCTATGTTAAAGTCAAAGCCTACACATCTGAGCTATTCACAGTAACTGGGTATACACTACACTATAAATGAATACTATATAGTAAACCAATAAAAAACTAAAATATAAATTACCTCAATGTTATCAATAAACTCTATATATTCTCCAATCAGCTAAGCTACCAACAATAAGTCGTTATATATCACAATGCTATATGGCGAAAAAATGGGTGGATTCTTACCCTCAACTTTAGCACCACGGATAGCTACGAGCCCCGTTCAGACGGACGAGTTCATCCATGGTCGGAACGGAGGAGGGGGAGAGAGACAGCTGCGAGGCGCTGTTATATTCCATGTTGTAAACCATACCATTAACCGTGGTGTGAGAGGTATTAAGAGTCAATGCCAGCGAAAGAGCTGCGGTCTGAAGATCATCGTAAAATACAATTAATTAAGAACGGAAATGGTTTAAAACATCTTTCCAATGGTTACTAACAGTGTCCAGTAAAAGTTTGTGTTGCAATTACCTACTCGCCCAATTGAAATCTGGCTAAATGTATAGAAGGTTTATCATAAACCAGAGCAAAAGCCACTTTGCAAACATGCAAACGTTTTTGTGCTTAAAACTACTTGTCAGAATTGTAACAGACACCCGTTGCATTTATTGGCCTACACCAGACATTGCAAAGACAATGTAAATATTATCCGAG